CAATCCTCTCTAATTGCTTTTTCATAAAGTTTAGAAAGAAAATCTCCTTCTTCCTCAAGATTTATAATGTCCTCGGGATTTAACTTTTCATCCTTAAGAGGCCATCATAAAACTAGGGTTGAAATAATGGATGTTATATATAAACATCAACACTAAAATGCACCTTACAAATATATGCAATATCTAATGCACTTTTATCATCATCCAAATTATTCATCTCAAATATTGGATCCTTGTACCATATTGTATTTATTTCCATATATCCTAGTATTTTGAATATACCTACCAACTCAAACTAACTCCACTTATCAAAATACATTTTTTATTCATAAATTATTCATCCTTCATATATCGTTAGTTAATTATCCAAAATTAAACCACCATGGTGAATAAATAAATGAAGGTATTCTTCCATTTCTGCCCATGTCCTGCAAATTTAAAATTAGAAAGGGGGCAAAAGTTTAGGATAACCCTAAAACCTAAAACTAAAACTTAAAATAGAGTTACACATATAAACACTAAATCTTAAATATTGAAAACATATGAACATAAAAAACCCTAAAACTTAAAGCAAATAATAATTGAACACAAAAAAATCCTATAACCTAATTTAGAAATGAGCTACAAATTACTAAATATTGTGAAAAATTACGCTTCAATTTTTCCTATTTGCTCCCGGTCTTCAATATCCTCATTGTCTTATCTGTGAGCTTTTCTTTTGTTAGGGTTTTGTCAATGGAAAACTGAATGAGAAACCAAACTTTAACTAAGCCTTTTCCTTTAATTAGATGTGTTAATTTTAATATAATCGACACATCAACCTCAAGTGTACATGATGTGGCCAATACATTTGACTTTGAGTGACAAAATTAACAAAAAAAGACAAATGTCATATGGTTTAAAGAAATAAGAGATCAAATTGGTCTTTTTAAAAGTTAAGAAATGAAAAAGTAATCCCGAGTTAAAGATAAAGGCCAAAAAAAAATATTTAACCAATTTTGTCTCTATATAAAAATGTTAGATATTAACTTTGATATTGTTTAATACTTAGAGATAATTTTTTAATATATATATATATATATATATATATATATATATATATATATATATATATATATATATATAACCAAACCCACACAATAATCGTAAACACAAGCAAAAAGAAACAAAAAAAAACACAAATTGAGGCAACTAAAATACATGCACTTTAAAAAAGTCTATGGTTTCAATATATGTTTATTTTATCTTCACTTGTAAATATATATTGAAACCATGTCTTTTTTAATGTAGAATTCTTCAACAACCTCCTATTATATAAAATTAGGCAATACATACCAACAAAATTACCTAAAGCCTTTTTTTTCGAACCTTTTTCTTCAAAATGAAACCACATAATTAAATAGAATGCTTACAATAATAATTTGTTAAGAGGCGATAAATTATTATCTAAGCTAGAATAACGCTCCAAAGTCCATACACTTTCAAATAAAACATAATCAAAGAATAAATGTCCAAATACTCCTATTTTCCACACAGTTTTGATTGATTAGCCAATTTATCATGAATTGGAAAAATATTTTTGGTCGGTAATCTATTCTTCATTAGATGATGAACACTTAAAGAAACTTTGAGGGAATATTTTTTTGTTCCAAATTAATTCATGAAACTCTCCATCTCTGTGAGGGGCCTAAGTGAGAATCTAATAATCCCCCTAGATAGAGAAAACTTGAGTATGATTATTTTTCAAAGATATATGTCACTATCAAGTTCTTGTAATTAAACATTTTTGAAAAAATAGAAGTAGTCTAGCAGAAGAGCTTTCTTCTGCAAACAATTTCAATATTGAAATCCACCCTATATGACCAACCTATATTAACCAACCTATATGACCCACCTTTTATCCATTTTCAGTTGTTTGGATTTCTTCCCCTCACTCCGAACACTGTTTTCCTCTATAGACTTTTTATACCTTTTTCCCCCAACCTTGTATTTAGAGTTTAATATTGTAAATGACATACCCCCTTATCCACCTTTATGAACACGATTTTCCTAACAGAGAAAAGTAAACTCCTAGACTATATGAATCTCTAACACACATTTTTCTTATCCAGACAAACATTATCTCACTTAACCTAATGGTTTCTCAACGATTCTTCATCCCTCCATCATAAAAAAAGTTTTAAATAGAGATTTAATTAGAGAAATTATACTTTCTAGGTCTATGAAGAAATAACAATGAGGTCATCCATGTACAAATAAAGGAATTTTTAACTCAAAAGTCTATTATGAATACGACCAATAACATGCAACCAAAATAAAAATCTCTTTAGGTTGCCCCCAATTGATAGACTCAAATAGTTGAAAGGAGATTACCACATTTGCAATTCAACATGTGAGAAGTTTACTCTAACCACAATGAGTTTACATTGACCCTAACTACAAGCGTTTATCACCTTAAGCCCCAATACAAGCTCAAATACTAATAAATTAACTTTGATAGTTATGATGTTCAAAAAAATTTTGTCGTGAAAGCCTCCACTAGATAATGATGAATGAATAACAATATTTGAACCTTCTAAAATATATAGACCATATATTTTATACCCTTTAGCAATAGTCACTTCATCATGCAAAATCTTCAACACTCCACGTTTAACTCTAGTGTAATAGCCTAGATCATCAAACATGCTTATAGATAACAAATTTCGTTTGAGTTCTAGAACATACCTTACATTGTGAAGAAGAAACTCACGATCATCAAACATTTTAAGTATGACCCTACCAATACCATAAACCTTGCAAGTCGTATTATCAGTAAGAAGAACTACTCCACCTTGCACCAGCTTCAAAGTCTCAAAATATTATATTCTTGGACACATCTGATAAAAGAAACCTGAGTCTATGACCCAACTATCTTCAGTCCCAAACTCGATATCACTAGTGCACCAGCATCCTCATAACCATCTTCATCCAAGACAAGCGCAACTTGAACAGGATCATCATTGACCTTTCTATTAGGACAATCCTTCTTAAAATGATCGATTTTCTAACAGCTTAACAGTTTACCTTTGATTTTTGCCACTTTGATTTGGACATCCCTTTACGCTCACCTCCTCTCTTTGACACGCTTAATCCTTCACCAATATCTCAAATATTCAAATCTTTCTCCTTTGAAAATTCTTTGGATTTCACCATCGTCTAGACTTCATCCAAAGTAATAGTACCTTCCTTACCATAAAGAAGAGCATCCTTAAAGTGCTCAAAAAATCTGGGTAATAAACTCAACAAAAGTAAAGCCTTATCCTCATCATCAATCTTCACTTCAATATTTTCAAAATCATCAGTAATCTTGTGAAATTTATAAGCCGCTCCATTATGAATTTGTTCTCCAACATTCGAAATGAATAAAGTTGTTGTTTCAGACACAACTTATGAGCCAAAGACTTGATCATATACAACAATTCAAATTTTGCCACGTTGAAGCATCGGTCTGCTCTTTGACGACTTTTCTTAAAACTTTATCCCCAAGGCACAAGATAACGACACTCCTGGCCTTATCCACCATCTCAGTCTTCTCTACTTTACTAATGTGTGCAGGCATCAATGCATCATAATTAATAAACAGAAAATATAATAGAATAAGACGAGAAAAGATGAAATATTTGTTTATTTGATCAAAAGATTTACTCTATGGGAGAGGGTAACTCTCTAATTCACTATTGTCAGAGTTGTTACAAGAGATTACAAATGAGTTACAAGAAAATAGTCTTCGCCTTCAGAGTTCCCAAGAACAATTATGAAGGCATGCAAGAACAACCTTATTTTCTACCCAAATATTTCACAACCTCTCCAACTCTCAATAATATAAACACACAAGTCCAATGTATAACAAGTGTTTCCCCATACCCTTATATAACTCCAAAGATTTCTCTAAACCTTTGTCTTTCTAAGTTCTCCGTTGAGAAGAGCTTAAACCCTTTGCTCTGCCCTTTTATTGTAAACTCTAAGATTGTCACACATTCAGACAACAAATATATATATATATATATATATATATATATATATATATATATATATATATATATATATATATATATATATATATATATATATATATATATATATATATATATATATATATATATATATATATATATATATATATATATATATATATATATATATATATATATATATATGAATCACTTTACTTTTTTGACTTCTTAATTTTTGACAATCTCGAAACATATTTTCTTTCTATTCATCAATAAAAATTTTAAAACATACTTCAACCGTACTCATAATTTCTATTTTCATATAAAATTAATTTGATTTTTTAATATGTGTGAAATTGACAAAGTGAATTCTAATTTAAGATAAAAAAATATTTTAAAATATAGCATTTTATTTTAATATTCATTTTTTTATTTAAAATATCATGAGATTATGTTGTAAATCAATCATTGAGCTGGCTCAATGTGATGATTTTGGAAACATCTATGCATAGTTGACCTTAGTACGGTGGAACCATTTAAAAGCAAAAAAGGTATAATTTTGCACCACACTATAACAAGACATGAGTTTCAACTTCAACCTCAAGATAACACAAAAATAGTACTTAGAATTTTGCACACACTAACAATGCATGAACATGAACTCCATGCGTGTAAACACAGCACTATTTCCCTTTTCTATTGTTTTTTCTTTCTCTCTCTATCCTGTTATTGGTTCTCTGCAATCTACCCTTAACTTAATATTCTCCTCATCAGCAAGATTCTCCAAAACACCGTCTTTCTGCCATTCTCTCTACTTTCTCTTCATTGCTTTCCAAGCCAAGAATCTCTCTTGATTCCTCTCCTCATCTCTCTCTTTTTCAACCACTATTAACCATCCATCTACAATGCCTCTTCTTTTCCATCTCTCTCTTTCTCTCTCTTTGTCATTTTCACTCTTCTTCTTCTTCTTCTTCTCTCCTCACCTTCTCTTTCCATTTCATTCTTATGGCTCCTTCCTCAGATATCAATCATCTTTCTCATCCATGTATATTTGGTATTCTCTCTCTTTCTCTTTGTTTTCATGATCCTATGCACTTAGATTTTCAAAGCTAACTCCTTTACACAATTTCACTCCAACCCACTTGAAAAAATTTGATCTTTCTTAATTATGAACCACCCCATGAAGCTACTAATTGAACTTCAATTGAGTTCATTAAATGGGCATTCTTAAAGTTTTAAATTTTACTTTTTCGTATGAATCCGAGAGAATGATTATTCATAGGTGTTCTAGTTGACTATACCATAAGTTATTGAATGATGAAAATTTTGGTGGTGAGCAGGTGATTATGTTTCTTCACATCCAGAGAGAAAGTCTGGTTTCATGAAATGGCTTAGTAAGCTTTTCAAAGGCGGGCCTAATAGAGGAAGGAGCGGTCGTCATCTTCATGATTCTTCGGAGGAAAGTGTGTCTTGGCGTGTTCCATCTCGAGCTTTGGTAAACATCTTCAATTTTCTTCAATCATGTATATATTGCTGTTGGTTTTGTTATGAATAGAGGAAATTATCATCACAAATTCACAAGTATGATTAAGGATATTATATGTTGAATAATACTACTCATGTAACTAGGATGATCGCGGTAGAGCTCAAAAGGAGAAAGAGGATTTGGGCCATGCAATGTCACTTTCTTCATCTGAAGATTCGAAGAGACCAAATGGTATGTACTTAATTTCCACTCAAAAAAAAAAAGTGCTTTTCTCTTTGTATAATGACATTTCTAATCAAAGATTAAAGACTTATTGGCATTTTTATTAGCTCATCAAGGATATAGGTGGGGGGAAGGAAATGGTGAAGATTATGGAAAGGCACTTCATGATAACTTGAACTCATCTGCACACCCTCCTTATGCTCCGGCGCCATTTTATCCGAATGAATATCGGTAAAATATTTGCTCTCTAAAACATTTTGTGTACCTCAATGTTGCAATTTACAAGTACAGTCCTTCTGGCCTTCTGGCGTTATTTATTAATTGTTTGAATGTGTGTTTTCCTTTGAACAGAAGAATATGTGGCGGCTGCAGCCAGGAGATAATCTATGGAAACTGTTTAGGTTGCATGGATACTTATTTTCATCCAGACTGCTTTCGATGCCACTCATGTCGCTATCCCATTACCGAGCGCGAGGTAATGAAATGTTGAGTTCATCATTTTTAATTCTCTTTATGGTTTTGACACATTTTTCATCTGTTTCTGACTTTTTGTTTTGTTTTGTTTTGTTGATCTAAGTTTTCTCTGTCAGGGAAGCATCCATATCACAAGTCTTGTTTTAAAGAGTTGACTCACCCGAAATGTGAAGTTTGCTTCCAGTTTGTAAGATTATTAACCTACCTTTGTTTATTCAAGTTGTTCTGCTTTAAGGTTATTGAATTTTAGTCCATTTTATTTCAGATTCCAATAAATGCTGCTGGTTTGATTGAGTATAGATGCCACCCCTTTTGGTCTCAAAAGTATTGTCCATGTCATGAATATGATAATACATCTCGTTGTTGTAGTTGTGAAAGATTGGAGGTACTAATTTAACTCACATTGCAATATTTTCAAAACAGCTAAAGAGTGGCTTTTATATGAATCTTGTTTTTTTATTCTTATTATCTTCTCTTGAAGCCTCGGAATACGAAATACTATGGACTCGAAGACGGGCGAAGCCTGTGTTTAGAGTGCATGGAATCTGCTATAATGGATACTGGTGATTGTCAGCCTCTATACCATTCAATCAGAGATTATTATGAAGGAATGCTTATGAGAATAGATCAGCAAGTTCCTATGCTTCTTGTTGAGAGAGAAGCACTTAATGAAGCTATTGTTGGAGAGAAAAATGTAATCAAAATTTCATTCTGTTTAGGTTAATTAGTTAATAGTTCAATTGGTCTTAATTTCTTTCAATTGTTTCTTCAGGGATTTCATCATTTGCCAGAAACAAGAGGTTTATGCCTTTCAGAAGAGCAAACTGTCACCAGTGTATGATATTTTAAACATGTTCATCTGTTTTCTTTGGCTAGAATGTGGAAACCATTATGAACAAGTGTTTGTTAGATAATTGGACTAATTTACGACGAGTTTATGTTGTTTCAGATACATAGAAGGCCGAGAATTGGAGGTCATCGATTTATAGGGATGAGAACTCAACATCAAAAGTTGATAAGAAAAAGTGAAGTTACAGCAATTCTTGTTCTATATGGTCTACCAAGGTAACTAACTAGGGACAATGAAACATGCTATTTTCTTCCTAGTGATGATGCTCAAACTGCATTTAAGTTCTGATATTTTTATGGAATACAGGTTACTAACAGGTGCTATACTTGCTCATGAGTTGATGCATGCGTGGTTACGTCTTAAAGGTATATATAAATCCACATTTTGATTTTATATTGGTATTTGAACCTACACCCTTGCAATCGCATGTTTTTGCACACCTACCAACTGAATTGACTTAGCATAACTATTACCTTGTTCGCCCTATGCAGGCTACCGCAACCTGAATCCTGAAGTAGAGGAAGGAATTTGTCAGGTTCTTTCATATATGTGGCTTGAGACAGAAGTTATGCCAACAAACTATCAAAACATGCCATCAACATCCACAGCTTCTTCTTCTTCCTCTTCATCATCAAAGAAAGGTGCAAAGTCTCATGTTGAAAACAAATTGGGGGAATTCTTCAAGAATCAAATTGTCAATGATTCTTCCCCAGCTTATGGTGGTGGGTTTAGAGCTGCTAATGAAGCTGTTAATAAATATGGTCTGCGTAGTACTCTTGAGCATATTCGTTTGACTGGTTTTTTCCCTGTTGTGTAAGAAAAGAACTACACATGTTTTCTTAAGTATGAATTGAAGAGCTTGTTGTCTTTTTTTATTGTTCTACAAGTGTCTCTTGGTCTTTTTTTCTTTTTTATCCAACTTGGTCTCTTGGATAGGTTCAAACTGAAGGCAGAGAGAGAGCCTAGGACAACTCCTTATATTTGGTCCTGTGAGGATGTCCCTAAGTCCAATTTGACAATAATATTTATGTATTCAGCTAGTGATTTTTCTTTATGCATTTAGTTTAATCATTTTATCAATGTAGTTGACAATATGCTGTGTAACATTGCTTTCACAAATATTCTAAAGCAAAGCATTTCCTCCATTGAATTTTTTTCAACTTAATAACGAAAATTTTGCTTCAAGAATCAAGAATCAAGAATCATTACAATTGAAAGCAACTAGTTATAATAATATGACCTGTTTGAACTATAAATTGACTACTGTTTTTTAAATAATGTTCAGAATGGCCCCATAACAAACCCAGAGTCATTGACAATGAACTTTATTATGACTAATACTATGGGCCAAGTGTAAATCAATGCACAAAAAATAATATTCTAAAATGACAAAAGAAACTCTAAAGTTTTCATGTAATTACTACATGAAAAATGGGTCACTTCTCAAAAGATAACACTGCACAACCCTGCAACTGGACTTGATGCCTTCAAATGCACTTGTAAAAATCTGTCTCCTAAGGCATTGAGTCGCAGACTTTGCTATATCCATTAGACTCTTCCCTTTTTTTGAGTATGCAAAAGATTAAGCTCTCGGTCAAGACCCATAACATAAGTTATAAGTAACAACCTAATATTAAATGTTGTGCAAGTTTCTGTACAGGCAAAAATGCGATTCCCGTAGTAGTACTACAAAACTGCCTCCAACCATGAGAATCTATGAAATGAACTTCAAGTGATAAATGTCAACTCTAACGGTCTAACCCAACCCTTTCGCATGAATAAATAACTTAATACATTTTAAGGCTTGCAGATCAAGACTCCAAGACTCCAGAGTTGGTTGATCTAATCATGCAGTAGTGATCTCCGCTAAAACCATCTTCAATGTCTCATAAGTCATAAAACAGATGCCTACACCAGGCACCACCTTATAGTATTCAGGCAAAATTCCTCTGTAAAGGCCACGCAAACCTTCCGTCCGGAATATGTGCTTGAATGTACCAAAAAGACCGGTATTGTACACACGGGCTCGCCCACCGGCCCCCTCAAGTTGCTTCCTCCGCCTCACAAGATCCAAAGGAAATGTTGCTGCATATAGGATAAAAAATAATTGAACCATATTCATTCTAGTCTAAAAGAGACCCACTGTTACAAAACCCTTTTTATATGAAATGCACCATCAAATCAGGTAATATGATATAGCGACTCAAGTGAGAACCAATTCCAGAACCAGAAATCTTATCAAAATTAAACATGATTGAAAGAAATAAGCGATATAGACAAAACATAATTTATTATTATAGTGGCTCTTCTGTGTCTTTGACGAAGTTGCAAGCCTGCACTTCAAAAATTTACATTCACAGGTCATGACTAAGAAAGAGCAGTAAACAAGTACTGAAACCACAAGACTCTCCACAATTTGTTGTCAAATTGGCAAGATAGGTATAGATGAGCAAGTCTTTCTTATAACAACAGCATTTAAATTTAAAACAAATCCTGAACATGAGAGAAAATGTAAACAATATTGGGATTGAGAGGAAAGTCACTAGTATGCAAAACCACATCCCCTACCTGAACATACAGTTGTGGACTTGTGGTAGTAGTGGCACAAAACATTTACAATATTATTGATAAACTGGTTCTACTAGAGTTTTGTATGCATGAAGTTAGTGTCTATAGAATACAGTTTTGACATGAAATATATCAACGGTAATATATGGCTTTTATTTATTTTAAGGAACTCTAGTTCTTTTCTATTTAAACAATTTCATTTATCCATTGATGTTTATCATGAGCAACTATATTAAAATTTATTACCACAATTTCCTTCATTTAATATTTTGCTGAGCATACTATTAGATAAGTAAGAACAGATTCCTCAGAAACATGCCAACAAGTCCTGAAGAATTCTGATATCCGTCCAAACATCAGGTGAAGGTAACCTAAGTGAGAAGCATACCTCAAAGAGGACACCTCTCACATTTGGTAACCGAGGGATGATATAGGTTCATCCAAGTAATGAACATCCCACGACGGAATCAGCTGCATACCTTGGGAAGACATGTCATAAAATAAAACTTGGGAACATGATTACTTCAGCAAGATATTAAGACAAAAATAAATTTATTGAAAAATAGAAAAAATGTCCTTTTGTTGTCTTCCCTTACTAAATTCTCAAATGCCAGATAAAATAACAACTCCATCTTGGTCTCTGGTTCTAGGGGTCAGTCTGGTTAGATACTTGGTGCAGTTATCTGCATCAAAAGCATAGTAAACCACTACAGACATTAACTTCTTTAAAATTATTGTTTCTACAAATTCAATAGGTTGACTAAAGGATTCTTAATTTTAATTTAACTGATTGTTAAACATTTGATGCAACAACACTAAATTGAGCACTCTGATGCCACATAGGTGTAGGAAAAAGGTAAAATACCCCAAAAGAATATGCAAACCCCAATTGCAAGAAACATCAAAAGGAAACTATCAGGAATATGTATCTGACAAGGAACATCAAAAGTTCAAATAATTAAGAATATTTATGAGAACGAAAATCAAAAGTGCAAGTTATAGTTTTTCCTTTTGATCACTAACCTGTTGATGATGCAATGCCTGAAAGACTGCCACAAGCCAGACTAACAACAACGGGTGAATCATCGGATCTGGTGCACAGAAAAAATTAATATAATTGTAGTTATGATGATATACATGAAATAAAGGAAAATAGTGGTAAGAAATTAGCCTGTTGAATTAATCTTGAATTAATTACCTGTTTGACATCCAAAATGATCTCAAGCTTTCATATACGGAGAAGCTGATTGCTATATTTGGCCCAACAGTCTGCAATCACACTAGCATGCAGTTAAATACACAAGAAATGAATATATACTTTGAGTATTGGAAAATTGATAATAACAGCATACCAAAAGTGTAGTTCCAAGTCCCTTATAAAGTCCAAGTAATCCTTCTTCCTTGATAATTGTTTGTAAAGCATGCCCAATACCTCTATAGTAGATAAAATTTGTCTGCAAAATTTTAAAAAACATAATGGATACAAAGAAAAACATAAAAGCAAGAATTGTGAACAACCAGTTGTGTGCAAACGCATTAAGCAAGCGGCTCTTGCAGATGCATTTTCAAGTAAGACAATCTTAAGTTCAGAATCCAAGCCTTGCAAGGTTCCATGATCCAAAATAAGACGATCCAGATGCACATGACTTATCTAAAAACATTTGATCGATTTCAATCTCACCTGCGCAGCAAGCCGCGTTCTTACAAGATCCAAAGGATAAGTAGACGTAGCAGCAGTTATGCCTGCCAGCCCACCACCAACAAAATGTATGCAAAGGTCTGCACTGACATTATTCTTATTACTTTGCAGTTGCGGAACCGTTCTCAGCAACTGCACATACAAAAAACCAATCAATATAAAAACAAAATCAAAAACAAAAGAACACATCTATCATCACAGAATACCTATATCCTTACCTTCTTGTAATGCTCGTAAGAATAAAAGTTAACTGAAGAATAAGGTAATCGGTGAGCAATTGTAACCAGATTCCCTTTCCAGAAAGCTCTAAACCCCTCTTCATGGATTATCCTTGAAGCCTCATTCCATATACTCGCTTTTCTCAAAGTTGCAACGTTGGAATGCATCCCCTGAACCTGAAAAAACCAGACAGCGAAAAAAACACATTTTCACAATTCTAAAAAATCAAGGTTTTAACGTTAACATCATGAATAAACTAATCAAGTTAATTCTATGAATCACGGACACACCTGAACACGACTCCACGACCCCGACACTGACACGACGACACCGGTAATAATTTGAAAAACTGAATAAACTAAACCTAATCACGTGCAAGTGCCGGGGCAAGTGTGCTACAGAAACACAGACCGACGAGGTGTCTGCTACATAGAGATAGTTATTCAGTATAATTCTAGAAAAACACATTTTCATAATTCTAGAAAATCAAGCAATTCAGTTCCCAAAATTATTCAATTTCGAGAGAGCAAAACCTAATTGATTGACTGATACAATTTGAATAACCAAATTAGTTCTACTCCAATACTAATTAATTAGCCATAACTCAAATTTCATATGAGAACGTGATAAACAGAACAATTTAACAGTTGCAAATTAAACCAATAAGAAAACCTAAAAAAAAAAAAGAATAAACTTGAAACCTGAAAGAGGATAGTTAATCTCGCAAGTGGCGCCGTACATGTTTTACTAAAAGCTCCGGCAACTCCTCCGGCGACGAGCTGAGAAAGCGTCCCAATCTGCTGCGGCGGAGGTTGTTTTTGCACTAACTTCCGTACACCACCGTCCACCGTAACCCCAACCCTAGCCTCCGTTTGCATCTCCAAATTCCAATTTTACCCCTGTTTTTTTCTCTATTTCACTTAACACCACTTTCTCTTAAAAAAATTGAATCTTTTCACTATCCAAACAAGAAAATACAAAAACTCCACAAACATTGTTTCTCCCTCATCTCTCTCTCTCTCTGCGTTTTGTGCTTCTTTTTTTCTCAGTTGATTATAAACGACGTCGTTTCCGTGATTCGCCTTGTTCAAAACGATGACGTATTAAGCAGGGTTTGCTTCGAAGCGGTTAAAGCTTCACGGTGGTGATCTACTGCGGTTACCCGCACGTTATTATCGTGTTTCTGTTTCGTAATTTTAAAAGAAGACGACGATGTGTGGTGGATTTAGGGTTAGAAGAAGAATGTTAGTGTGGAATTGGGTGCAGAGGATAAATTGCGGTGGGGAATATGAGGTTCTGTTTTGAGGAATATGCGTTGGCTTCAAATTAGA